CACACACACACACACACACACTCCTTGGCGTAGGGTTCTGGGCCTGGTGAAGGCCCCGAAAAATAACTGCCATTTGGTGCAGTTTAGAGCTATGATTCAGCTAGTCAAAATTCAAATTTCAAGATGGGGTCCTTGGTGTGATTTTTTTCAGAAATCGAGTCAGGACCCCCCTGATTCCAGTGTTTCATAACCTCCTCCGCCTTGTACCAAGAGATGTCTCTCAAAGACCTTTTCTCGTTTCCATTTACAATTAAACACTTATAGTCATTAAAAAAACTGCTGACGAAGCCCAATGCTAGAACCACGCCCTTATGAAAAAATTAATATGATAAAATTATATCTACTATTGGTTACCTTCAAGTACGCCGTCCCATCTTTCACCCATCCGATGACGATATCCGCCCCTGTCATACCCCCATTGGGAGAGAATCCAAGTCCTATGTAGCCTGTGGTACGAACCTGGGTCTCGAACGTGATGGTTTCATTATCGAATTTCCAGGACAAAAAGTAGACGTCATCCTTAAGTACCACATGGTGAGTGAAATCCGCCAAACTGGGTACGGCGAGTGCGAAAAGAAGTGGTAAAACTGTAGATACCAACATGTTCGCAACTCTGTCTCAATGATAACTGCAAACTGCTAAAAAAAAAAACGCGCGTTACTCACGATTTTTATATGTGATAAATAGGCTGTTAAGTCACTTCTTCTATAAAATGTCACCTTCAAACTTAAGTTATGCACGGGGTGTTGTGCAAGAAGCCGGAATGTATATCCATGAAAGGCTTAATAAAAGAAAATCGATTGTGAGGGTACACAAAAATCGCGCAGGACATAATGCCCTTTTGTGTGTGCTGTTTACCCGCTCTATTAAATGACCCAATGACGGTAACAGAAAGAGGGTCTGCAATCGTGCATTTAAACGAACAAAAAGATTCAACAGCAAAACGAGAGAAAAAGATACTCAAAAAGCAACAGATGTCATTAAACACACTGCTTGTCAGTATGATCCTTCGCAATGGGTTAAATCATTGACAGTTTCCCTGATTCAAAAGGGACGCAATATAAAAAAGTAATGTTTGTTCAGGTACTATTGATCTACTTATAAGAATTCACTGAGATGTGCACCGATTGTAACGAATAACTTATTTCTAAAGGAGTAATGACTGATTTCAAAAGGAAATGTTGACTACAGGTGTATTTACTTAAGAGATCGAGCCTTTTTACATTTTTCCTTCTGCGAGGGTGCGCTCAGTCAGTGTTAATTGGCGGCCTTTTTAAATTGATAGTCACGAATCGGTGTCCTCTTTCATTATACAAACGTGACTTAATATTACATGTGCATTGGATATTTTTGTCAATTTGATAAGGAGCCTTTTTAGCTAAGTAGCCATTAAGATGTGTAAATTACACAAATCAAAAATATAACTTGGTAATACAAATGGCATGAACAACAGGTATTTTTTTCTATGAGCTTAGCACCTTATACGGTACAAAACTAAACTTCTTTAATCAACAATAGCTGCATCTTGAATTGTTCACTGCAACATAATCATCGCTGTTATTACATCATAATTTACAATAGAGTTGATCTTGTCAGCATAATACTTCAACATTAACGCAGTAATTCAAGGTCACATTAAATGTTAATAAGACGTGGTGTGGCTATTGCAATATAAATATAAGTACTAAGAGCTTACATTAATATCATTTTGACTCCGTTTATAGTATATACAAATTCTAAGTATATTAATGCTCATTCACAGAACAAATGTTGCAACTGGTATCTACCAAACAATATAGAACTTGTTTGATGTTGAATTGCTTTGAAGTAAAGCTTTTTGTTCAAGGGTTAGATTCTCCACTGTTGCTGATTCACCAAACGTGCTATTTGAACAAAAAAGCAAATTATCTAAATGGGTTCTTTTCACTGCAAGCGACTATAGACCCTAATGTACGNATTACTTGAAAGTCCACGGTAAAACTTTCCCTATCCATTAATAAACAGGCAATTAAGCAAGGAAATATGAAGTCACCGGAAGAATTCTTTTCGGTTCCTTGAAATATCTGCCTTCTTGATAGTTGAAATCGTAGCTTTCGTCATATGCTATGTAAGGAAGTTCCACTCCGTCCCGGAATTGACGTAGATAAATTGCAGTTCCCGCCAAATGTGTGTGCAGCCCCACAGCCAATACGTTGATTCCTTCTGGCACATTTTCTAAAGCCTGCATGCATAGAAAAAAGGGACAAAGTGAACGAGGGGGCGAGCATGTATTTTCAATAATGTCCAAAGTAGTTTGCGGGTCAGGGGGCAGATCAGAGGTGGAAAATTCCATGCAATTTCACTTGGTTCGGTTCATACAAGAGTATTTTGTATCATCCAATGCCATTATACATCCTTCGAGTGGCAATACAATATATAATTATAAATTAACCTGAACTGCATGAGTTTTAAAACTTGTTTGAAAGTTTGCAAACTGGTGTTCAATTGCAAATTTAATTGAAAGTTGGTCTTATACCTGCAAAGGTAGGCATGAAGCTTGTACTAACGTAAGCATACCTCAGGGTTACAAAACACTCATACATGTATGTAGCACATTTTTACCATTAATTTTATTTATTTATTGTTGTTTTCTTGTGTTGTCTTAATTACAGCTCAAATGTATAAAAAAAATTGCAATACTGTTACGGTATTTATCCCTGTACTTTTGCGAAAAAAAGTCGGGGATCACGTAATCCCGTCCGTTCGTAAGTCTGTCCGTCCTAAAGTGCGTGCGTCTGTTCATGTCTAAAAATTGTCATTTGGTGCATTCTTACACTTTCCATACAATCGGAGCACTGTCCCCAGCTGTAGAATTCGTCATAGTACGGTGGAATGACGTGATTTCTAGTGACACTAACGCCAACAGACATTATCCCTGCATCATACTGTCGCCGACGTGGTATTAAGGTGAAACGCACACCAGATGAGTCCACGTAATCTAAAAATGTCGAAAAGGAACACCATAAAAGGGGGTAGCAAACTAAGAAGTATGCTCTTCTAAGTGAGTGAACTACTGCGTAAACTGGCTATAGCTGCAATAGGCAGAATAAAAACTCAGAATGCAAAGTAAGTTTGTATTTTGTTTGTGAATTTATTAGTTTTCCTCAACTGGAAGAGGTATAATTATCGCTGAAGCAGCTCAACAATATGAAGAAAATCGTTACTGGAATACGCCAAACGCAAAGAAAGGCGCAAACAAGGTGCAAAAAAACACAGTGTTGAGGGAATTTTTAAACCAATAAATTCTTTTAACTGTATTTGTAAATGACATTTGATTTTTGCGACGTTGCATATACATGTATTAAACCGCTTTTGTCTGAAGATGTGGGATTGCCACTTACCATTCCTCAGAGCTGGGTTGTCATAGTGGGTTTCCAGCAAAACGAAAGTGGGATCACCTTCACCTCCAAAAGGAAAGCCAACATTCTCTGGGTACACTTGAACCTATAATCATTGATTGAGCAATTGCTAAATAAGCCAGTTTACAAAATCTATATCATTAAAAATAGAAAAAAATAATGATTACAAACATTTAACACATAAATGTAGACCCTGTCGACACTCACCTCTCCTCCAACCGCCCACGCCATCAGCATTTGTTGGCATAATTCAAGATCTGGAGGCATATTTCCCCTGCCCGTGCAATCTCTACTATAATTGGCGTGGTCGGTGAAGTTGAACTGGTGGTTGCAAGCATACACTATAAAATGATGCACGATAGCTTCGTTCCCAGCTTGAACTATCGGCTCTGCCTGAAAGATATGAGCATTTTATGCATGTATGGATATTTATTATTGATTTACTCTGTGCAAATAAACCGACTATAAAAAGTCAGTGCTGTACGGCCTCGAACCTTGCTTTCAGCCTATCAAAAAGGGGCAGTTTTCGTGTTGTCTTCAATACTGCACATCAGTTGGTGAAATACGAGGGGGAGGGGGTAAAAAACGCGTCGTGCAAAGGGTACAATCTGATTATGAATGTAATCGTATTATCCATGCGTTTTGGAGCTTGTCACATTTAGACACGCGAGTCCCCTCTCTTTGACTTTCAACAAAAACAATAACAGTTGCTTAATACAGGGTTCATACCTTTATCATGTGATGGACGCCAGAAAAACTCGGCAGCGTAAAACCGGAACACCAATACGTTGTGTCAGAAGTTGAGGGTACTTGAACCTGGAAATTGAAAACTGGTGAAAAAACGGAGTAATAATTCCGTTTTAGGTCCTCCTGAGTTGAAATGTTAATTTCAAGCGTTGGTATATCAAAGATCTATCATAGCTTTTCAACTAATTTACTTGTGTCTGGGGAAATTATTGGAGTAGAACGGATTGGCAATTAATCTACAGAAGGCATGAGATCCTTGTTACGTATGGAATTGATATACTTCATTGATTTACCTTATTATTAATAAAATCCATGGTATATGCATCGTTTGGTATAGTGACAGTGTTAACTGGATTATCAGCGGGCTCGAGAAGGAACATGCTCTTCGCTCCGCGGTTCACGTTTCCATGGTACAGAAGGTCTGTCTCAGTCAATGGGTCTGAATCGTGGTAAGCCCATACGATACGCATGGTACTTTGCTAAAAAAATGTATCGTTTTGAATATATATATATATATATATTAATCGCGAACCACAACAGTATAATGTAACATGTTACCGAAACCAAAACCAACCATTGGTGCAAGTGGTTTATTCTGTGCTATATAACCAGAGCGAGCCTTTCAGTTTTATGTAATATGAGAGTAAATGCTTCATATTTACAGCTGAACTAATGGGTAACACACACCCGACTAATAACGCATTAAAGCAAGTATATCTATTCATGCGTTCACAATATTTATCAGTCAGTCTTCTTCAGGTAACATAACCACACATAGTGATTATTAATTTGATACATTATTTTTCTTTCTCAAATAGAATACTTATTATCTGATTGTACAAACATGCCACAAGTTTGAATACCCATAAAAATTTCCTCTTTCCTCATCATTTATTTCAATTGATATTATGTTGTTTAATGTGCACTTTGGACTTCTTATAAATCATCCATGTTGTACTACCCGGTGCACTTGTGGGCATTAAATAAAAATAAAGGAAATGTTTTTAATATACAGTATAGGTCTACCAAGCAATTATAAAACATGTAACTGGCATCATTCCTCTTACAAATTTGGAATATAAATAGCTTAATTTGCGTACTTTTTTCAATTGTACGTTTCCTTTTTGCTTTACTTTGGAAAATCAAGACAGGACTTTTACTGCAATAGTAAAAACAAGTTATTTTCGACGTAGACCCCCGAAAATTAAGAATGGTAATCACTTGGGAAATTATTCCAGAAATTATTTTTATTACTCACTGTTATCTTGTTATCTTTGCTATCACACGTGTCCAGTCTACGCTTAAAGCGTAATGTTGTAAAGGTGCTGTTCTCGCTGCCAGAGATCAGCTCCACATCTTGGTTCTCGTCGATAGAGGGCACTTGTTCCGCCGTCGCGTAGCGGTCCTAAACCACGGATAAAAATAACTACTAGTTTAAAGATACAATCAAAAACAAGAAAGCTGCAATGCTACAGGAAAAATCCAATAATAAACAGGTTTTTGTTTTAAAAAAAACATATTCTATCAAACGTTTTAATGTCAGCAGCTTTTTTAGTTATAACCGTGTGCAGATTAACCGACCTTTAACCGAAAACATTTCAATAGTCGCCCCCACTAATAATAATGATTATAAAACTTTATTTAGCAAATATTTATGTATAAAAATACCTCAGGTATTTGCTTCTAAGTAAAATATAAGATAACTAAAACTGTGAATATAATAGTCGCCCCCACTAATAATAATGATTATAATACTTTATTTAGCAAATATTTATGTATAAAAATACCTCAGGTATTTGCTTCTAAGTAAAATATAAGATAACTAAAACTGTGAATATAATATTATTTATGAATAATTACATAAAAAATAAATTGAAAATTGCAGGTAGAACAAGAAACAGCTGAAGGGTTAAAGCTCAAGAACCTCTTTTTCAACAACAGCATGGTAATTGTTGACTTTCATCGATGCAGTGGGTCTGTTCAAACGCAAACCATTTCCATGCAAAGATTAACTTAAAGCACGCCTGCAAATATATGTATTTACCAAGTAAATAATTAACTTTATGAGATGCCATTTTGTCTTTTTAATGTTGTCGCCCTATGACGCAAATCAGCCGGGCTTGCACTTGTAGATGTAACGCGAATCTTAATTTCCTCGCGTTGCTGTGACCTTTAAACACATACTGGTATCAATTGTTCGCTTCTAAAGTACCATTGAAAAACCTGCCTATTGTATCCCTACCCTCCAGTATTGACTGACTATAGAGCCAAGGGTAAAAACCAGATCACGTTATGAAAGTCGTTAATATGCAACAACAAAAACTTGACAAATTTAAGGCACACTGTTCACTGCATTTTCACCATCTTCACTAAAAAATACACCATATATTTAACGTAAACAAGTTTTGGAAAGACAGACACAAGTCTTTGGCGCGAGTTCTGAACGATCAGTTCCTTCGGTAAAGAATGATGGAGACTAAGCGAGATGGCTGGGGAGTTTACTGCAACTACGAGGAGACTACCCTTCATCTCCATGGAAATACCCTGTGACCAATGGCGAGGATAGGTCAAAACTAATTAATTCTCCAAGCGGTTGCAGGTCCGATGTCAAATGAGTATTATTTTCATTAAAAGAATTCACTTAAATTATGATGCGATGTTTATTTTTCAAGAAGTAGGTATTCAGACAATACAAGGGGCGTATACAGGATTATTTGAATAACTGCTATTTGGTGCAGTTTAGAGCTATGATTCAACTAGTCAGAATTCAAATTTCAAGAGGGGGTCCTTGGTGTGATTTTTTTTCAAAAATCGAGTCAGGACCCCCCTGAAGCCCCTAAATCCGCCACTACATTAGGATGCAAAAGGCAGAATAAATGCACCGTTACTTTCATAACCTCCTCCGCCTTGTACCAAGAGATGCCTCTCGACGACCTTTTCTCGTTTCCTTTTACAATTAAACACTTAGTCAATAAAAAAACTGCTGATGAAGCGCAATACTAGAACCACGCCCTTGTAAAACAAAAATAATATGATAAAATAATATCTACTGTTGGTTACCTTCAAGTACGCCGCCCCATCTCTCACCCATCCGATAACGATATCCGCCCCTGTCATACCCCCATTGGGAGAGAATCCAAGTCCTATATAGCCTGTGGTACGAACCTGGGTCTCGAACGTGATAGTTTCATTGTCGAATTTCCAGGACAAAAAGTAGACGTCATCCTTAAGTACCACATGGTGAGTGAAATCCGCCAAACTGGGTATGGCGAGTGCGAAAAGAAGTGGTAGAACTGTAGATACCAACATTTTCGCAACTCTGTCTCAATGATAACTGCAAACTGCTAAAAAAAAAATGCGCGTTACTCACGATTTTTATATGTGATAAATAGGCTGTTAAGTCACTTCTTCTATAAAATGTCACCTTCAAACTTTAGTTATGCACGGGGTGTTGTGCAAGAAGCCGGAATGTATATCCATGAAAGGCTTAATAAAAGAAAATCGATTGTGAGGGTACACAAAAATCGCGCAGGACATAATGCCCTTTTGTGTGTGCTGTTTACCCGCTCTATTAAATGACCCAATGACGGTAACAGAAAGAGGGTCTGCAATCGTGCATTTAAACGAACAAAAAGATTCAACAGCAAAACGAGAGAAAAAGATACTCAAAAAGCAACAGATGTCATTAAACACACTGCTTGTCAGTATGATCCTTCGCAATGGGTTAAATCATTGACAGTTTCCCTGATTCAAAAGGGACGCAATATAAAAAAGTAATGTTTGTTCAGGTACTATTGATCTACTTATAAGAATTCACTGAGATGTGCACCGATTGTAACGAATAACTTATTTCTAAAGGAGTAATGACTGATTTCAAAAGGAAATGTTGACTACAGGTGTATTTATTTAAGAGATCGAGCCTTTTTACATTTTTCCTTCTGCGAGGGTGCGCTCAGTCAGTGTTAATTGGCGGCCTTTTTAAATTGATAGTCACGAATCGGTGTCCTCTTTCATTATACAAACGTGACTTAATATTACATGTGCATTGGATATTTTTGTCAATTTGATAAGGAGCCTTTTTAGCTAAGTAGCCATTAAGATGTGTAAATTACACAAATCAAAAATATAACTTGGTAATACAAATGGCATGAACAACAGGTATTTTTTTCTATGAGCTTAGCACCTTATACGGTACAAAACTAAACTTCTTTAATCATCAATAGCTGCATCTTGAATTGTTCACTGCAACATAATCATCGCTGTTATTACATCATAATTTACAATAGAGTTGATCTTGTCAGCATAATACTTCAACAAGAACGCAGTAATTCAAGGTCACATTAAATGTTAATAAGACGTGGTGTGGCTATTGCAATATAAATATAAGTACTAAGAGCTTACATTAATATCATTTTGACTCCGTTTATAGTATAAACAAATTCTAAGTATATTAATGCTCATTCACAGAACAAATGTTGCAACTGGTATCTACCAAACAATATAGAACTTGTTTGATGTTGAATTGCTTTGAAGTAAAGCTTTTTGTTCAAGGGTTAGATTCTCCACTGTTGCTGATTCACCAAACGTGCTATTTGAACAAAAAAGCAAATTATCTAAATGGGTTCTTTTCACTGCAAGTGACTATAGACCCTTATGTACGCNGACACAAGTCTTTGGCGCGAGTTCTGAACGATCAGTTCCTTCGGTAAAGAATGATGGAGACTAAGCGAGATGGCTGGGGAGTTTACTGCAACTACGAGGAGACTACCCTTCATCTCCATGGAAATACCCTGTGACCAATGGCGAGGATAGGTCAAAACTAATTAATTCTCCAAGCGGTTGCAGGTCCGATGTCAAATGAGTATTATTTTCATTAAAAGAATTCACTTAAATTATGATGCGATGTTTATTTTTCAAGAAGTAGGTATTCAGACAATACAAGGGGCGTATACAGGATTATTTGAATAACTGCTATTTGGTGCAGTTTAGAGCTATGATTCAACTAGTCAGAATTCAAATTTCAAGAGGGGGTCCTTGGTGTGATTTTTTTTCAAAAATCGAGTCAGGACCCCCCTGAAGCCCCTAAATCCGCCACTACATTAGGATGCAAAAGGCAGAATAAATGCACCGTTACTTTCATAACCTCCTCCGCCTTGTACCAAGAGATGCCTCTCGACGACCTTTTCTCGTTTCCTTTTACAATTAAACACTTAGTCAATAAAAAAACTGCTGATGAAGCGCAATACTAGAACCACGCCCTTGTAAAACAAAAATAATATGATAAAATAATATCTACTGTTGGTTACCTTCAAGTACGCCGCCCCATCTCTCACCCATCCGATAACGATATCCGCCCCTGTCATACCCCCATTGGGAGAGAATCCAAGTCCTATATAGCCTGTGGTACGAACCTGGGTCTCGAACGTGATAGTTTCATTGTCGAATTTCCAGGACAAAAAGTAGACGTCATCCTTAAGTACCACATGGTGAGTGAAATCCGCCAAACTGGGTATGGCGAGTGCGAAAAGAAGTGGTAGAACTGTAGATACCAACATTTTCGCAACTCTGTCTCAATGATAACTGCAAACTGCTAAAAAAAAAATGCGCGTTACTCACGATTTTTATATGTGATAAATAGGCTGTTAAGTCACTTCTTCTATAAAATGTCACCTTCAAACTTTAGTTATGCACGGGGTGTTGTGCAAGAAGCCGGAATGTATATCCATGAAAGGCTTAATAAAAGAAAATCGATTGTGAGGGTACACAAAAATCGCGCAGGACATAATGCCCTTTTGTGTGTGCTGTTTACCCGCTCTATTAAATGACCCAATGACGGTAACAGAAAGAGGGTCTGCAATCGTGCATTTAAACGAACAAAAAGATTCAACAGCAAAACGAGAGAAAAAGATACTCAAAAAGCAACAGATGTCATTAAACACACTGCTTGTCAGTATGATCCTTCGCAATGGGTTAAATCATTGACAGTTTCCCTGATTCAAAAGGGACGCAATATAAAAAAGTAATGTTTGTTCAGGTACTATTGATCTACTTATAAGAATTCACTGAGATGTGCACCGATTGTAACGAATAACTTATTTCTAAAGGAGTAATGACTGATTTCAAAAGGAAATGTTGACTACAGGTGTATTTACTTAAGAGATCGAGCCTTTTTACATTTTTCCTTCTGCGAGGGTGCGCTCAGTCAGTGTTAATTGGCGGCCTTTTTAAATTGATAGTCACGAATCGGTGTCCTCTTTCATTATACAAACGTGACTTAATATTACATGTGCATTGGATATTTTTGTCAATTTGATAAGGAGCCTTTTTAGCTAAGTAGCCATTAAGATGTGTAAATTACACAAATCAAAAATATAACTTGGTAATACAAATGGCATGAACAACAGGTATTTTTTTCTATGAGCTTAGCACCTTATACGGTACAAAACTAAACTTCTTTAATCAACAATAGCTGCATCTTGAATTGTTCACTGCAACATAATCATCGCTGTTATTACATCATAATTTACAATAGAGTTGATCTTGTCAGCATAATACTTCAACATTAACGCAGTAATTCAAGGTCACATTAAATGTTAATAAGACGTGGTGTGGCTATTGCAATATAAATATAAGTACTAAGAGCTTACATTAATATCATTTTGACTCCGTTTATAGTATAAACAAATTCTAAGTATATTAATGCTCATTCACAGAACAAATGTTGCAACTGGTATCTACCAAACAATATAGAACTTGTTTGATGTTGAATTGCTTTGAAGTAAAGCTTTTTGTTCAAGGGTTAGATTCTCCACTGTTGCTGATTCACCAAACGTGCTATTTGAACAAAAAAGCAAATTATCTAAATGGGTTCTTTTCACTGCAAGCGACTATAGACCCTAATGTACGAAAACCTCTGGCTTGTTTTCAGCATCATGTTTGCCTATTATCAACAGCAGTGTGAACAAGCTGCAAATAATCGTTCCCATGGTAACGTAAACCGTTCTATCAGCAGACGATGCAGAGCCAGTGGTGACTGGAGTAGCGTTGGTGGTTGTGGCTGGACACGATGCTTGGGGTAACTTGTATGGTGCGCTGATCTGCAATTTTTTGGATCAGGTTCATCTGCAGTGAGATGCATTTAAGCTCTAAATCATATTCTAACTAATCGTATTGCCAACAAATGAAATTTTTAACCCAAGGGATGGTTGACATGTTAAAGGGATAATAACTCTTCGAATGAGATCTATATTTCACAATTAAAACATTGTGAACAACTCATAGAAATAAATATATTCTGTTTTACCAGTTATAGCTATTATTCTGATATCTGAGCTTGTCTTTAGTACACGTGACCTCCATTGATGGCTTAAGTCTGTTATAATCTCTTAAGAGATTATAACAAAAAACTTTTTAGAAAAAAACAGGGACTAACTATGAATGTAAAAATGGATTCATTAACCATTGGTAAGTACGGGGAAATTGTTGTTTACTCCAGGAAAATTCATTTTTTGGCCAGAATGAAGAGTTATTATCCCTTTACTTGGTTCAGCTCTATCTGAAGAAGACAAACTTAAAGCGGTGAAGTTGAAGCAATGGTTGGAGATGGAGATATTGTGGCCATGAAGAACGCGTTGAGCTGCAGTTTTTTCAGTTGGCGTATACCAACAGATACCATTTAGAATTGTCATGTAAACTGTCTTGCATATATACATTGGAGCACAATCTTGATTGTAGGTGCACATTTTGTATTAATTGATACAAATGAAATAGACTATATAACTTCCACTTAGGATAGAAGGTTCTCAGTATGTTTTAGTAAATAAAATACAAAATTACACTCACATACCCATATCCATTTATTCCATGACAAATCTGCACTCTCGTGGAATTCATCTCAAGAGCTTGAAATCTAACACGAGTCTTGTCGTCTTGCCAGTTCACCATTTTTTTCCATGACTTCATCAAATCTACGTCCTGTGTATTGCGATGGTGCTTAAATAATAACACTGTAGCCATGGTTATCCGATCCAGAATTTAAAAAAATGTACCCAGTGAATATAGCTTACACCGGTTTAAAACAAATATTTTACCCTTTACTCGAAAGTTACGACTTGCTTTCACGCGTGCTAAAAAATAAGAAGTGGATCTTCATATATAGCTGACTAATGTAACGGTGCCCCTATCATTCAGTGTCGCCTTCAAAATTGACTAGTACCAAGGAGTTATAACAGACTCCTTGCTAGTACATACAATTATCGTTCATGAGGTTTGCCTTTGTGCTCAATGTTCCAAGACATTCTTACATTTCTTCCCCAGTTCCGAGACCGTGGTTAAATAATAGGGGGTTTGAATCTTGAATCCCTTATATCCTTTGGGTATGTTTTACAAATATTTTACACCCAGTACTGTTGAATGACTGGTAACAGAGGGCCATATGGAAGATAAGCTTACGCTCAACATGTTTACCCTCTTTAAACTCTTTAAATAAAGTTCAAAATAAAATAAATAAAATAAAAATGAAAAAAATATATAA